GTATTGTTGAAGTTAACGTTCGTTGTTATAGCGTTTGTTTTAGCGCGAATGTTGAAAGTAAGTGTATCGTAAAGTTATATTCAGAAAGAATAAACCAGTTTTATTTAAGAAAGGACTTGTGTTGCTAAAGTTTAGTTGGAAAGAATTTACGGAAAAATTAATTAACAAACGGAGACGTAACAATATTAAAAATCTCGCTCACAGCAATATTAATTGAAAGAATATAAATACCAAAAGGAATAAAACTCTTAAAGTTAAATAAAGAACGATATTCATTATGGCCTGAAAATATCCGTTAAATTTTCAACTTTTTGTGAATGGTTTATCTCCACAAGACATTTTAACAACATCGAAGTCAAGAAAAGAAAAGAGCATGATCCAAGAGATAGAAGGAAGAGATATAAGTTAACAGAAAGTAATGTATCTCCTTCTGCTAAAATAGAAAGTACTAAAGACACAATATCATAAACATCAATTTATGTGGTAATGCATGTGTGCTGGAGGAAAAATGATAAGCAAATATGTGACAATGAATGTATGTAGCAAGAAAACAACGTGCATGCACATAGTTCACCCTTTACGGGCCCAAATTGGATGACACTGGATAATTTTTGCTACTGAACTGCAGTTCACTTGTTCCACAAGCAAAATCACCTGATAATTTCGACAGTAGATCCACCCTTAAGATATCAATGTCTGGACCCAGATCAAAAACAACTATCTTGATTCAGCACTCTGGCAGTGGTTCTTTCCAAATAAAATGACTTCTGTTCTTGTAACGCCTTACAAAATAACCACCCTTTTCACATTTTAGGTTAACAACTTACTCTAGATTTTTTTTTATTTACGAAAATTTAACCACTAAAAACAGGATTTTTACGAATTTTACAAGAGTAAATACAAACAATAAAGTTTTTATATTTAATATTTTTCTTCACATCACTGTACTGTTAGCTGTATAGAAAGTAATTCACTTAAAAAGCATAAAAGGTTAAAAAATTCTTGACATACAATATAATAGTTTGAAGGTGGTCTCAAAACCATCCACCTAAGCTTAGTCACTAACAGGTGTTGTGTATCCAAGTATCTAATGACTGTTATTGGAGAAAAGAGATGTATCACCCCTAGTGATAACTTTTCCTGCTTACTATATACAGTCATACAGACCTTTATCGTTATGCTTTTATGACATTTTGCTTCAGTATCCCAAACATAAATCAAATTTACCTTTTATAACACGTTGTTCAGGCGAACACGAGCAGTATGAGCAGCTGAAAGAACCCGTTTTAGAATAAAACTCTACAGTCAACATGAATTTTGCACCTTCCCCAATCTATTCGTTTTACGTCAGGAGCTGTGTTGAGAGCTGTTACACAAATCTAATGATACAGCCAGATAGGACACTCTTCTAATATGCAAGTGATGCTAGTCATAAAGTTATAGCATAGTAACAATTTTTAAAGTCTTGATATTAAAGATTTTCAATGTTATCTTTGATGAATCATGGTGCAGGGGTGTCATGCACCGACTAATGACAATTTGGCTCAGTGTTCCATAGTAACTGTAACATATTATTACGGGTTTGACGTTCACTTCCTTGGAATCCTGACTAAGGTTAGTATTTATACTGCATGTTGAATACTATTAAAAATCCAGAGAAGGTAAAATAATTAATAAAACAGTATTCTGGGGAAATGCAACATGACAAACCTTGACGAGAACTGGTGCATTTTTGTAGAAGACACAACCAGAACATTTGCTTTATCAGTAAAAATTGTAATGTTTTTTCTTTTTATACATTTTCTGGTATAACACAGGAAATAAAACACCTTTTTAGAAATTCATTCTTGTGAAAAAAGGAGCTTTTTTTCTTTTAAGTCCGCAACTTGGTGCCAAAAAATACTTGTTACTCTCTTGATGTTCAAAACGTGAAAGCAGTATGCATAATACATGAAGAGTCACTGTCACGTTCAGCATAAGGTGATGCCAAGGAAAAGTAGAGACTTGCCTTTCCAGTCAAGTATAGCCTGTCGTAATTTGCCAGAATAAAGTTGGTGCTAATTGGTCAAAATAATAGTTTTTAATGGGAAACTTGACACACAGCAAGGTCGATTAAGGCTCTGGCTGCTCCACTCTGCACTAAAACTCAATCTTGTATCTATGTATCGTTACTGCCACATATCATGTGGCACTTAATCAACGGTTCACCAAAATAGTCATCATGATTGTACATGTAAGCTGACTGCTACACTCACCAGTGTTGGCAGCCAGATCTAACTCAAGTCGCCTAGATTAGCCCTATTGCTACGGGTAAAGAGGGGTCAGAGGTCATGTCATCACGTTTATAGGCTTACATTTAAAATATTATTGAACTACTAATTTATGAATGTATGTCAATACATTTGGCTTCAAATTGTAGTTTATAATTCAAATCGTAGTATTATACATAAATTAATTTCTTAATTTAAAAGTAAATATAAAAACAAATCACTAATTATCGATTTTAGTGTGTCACGTGGTACTTGTCTTCTGCTTTGGTTCAAATTAGATTTTATGGTGTTCACAATACAATGTCTGTAGTTTCTTACGAATTATAAACTCAAATTACCGATATTGACAAGCTAAACTATTGTTACGTATCTGCTTGTTTGTTAATTTCCGGTATAAATTCTTTCCCAGAAACTTCAGCGATACAAGTCCTTTCTTAATTAAAACTAGTTTATTTTTCTCGATACAACTTTGTATAC